TGGTTCACTGATTTTTTTCGCCCACTAATAATGACCCGACTTACGGTGAATTTTGTCATCGTCACCAGGGTCGATTCGTTACATGCAAGTATTTGAGACGCAAGTGGTGCTTCCATTATTGTCTCAGCCCCATCCTACGAAGCATACTTATGAGAGTATTCAGATTACTCCTCATACAAGCGGTACCACATAATGGAAATCGACGAGTGAAGAGTCACATAGAAATCCACATCATCATGAGAATGTATTTTTATCACAGGTTGTGATACTCCCAAGATCAGGTCCTAAATGCCACATTCTACAAAACAGATCTCGCCGTCCTCTTTGAAAACAAGAGTTCTGGTAGCTTTTGGTTGTGTAGTGGTCTACAGGCGGTGCACCTGCAACCCATATTGACCCCCAAAGATTACTCACTCACCGCGTATCTACTCTGATAGTGTTCATGTGGGTGATACCTGGAAATCTGACGGTAAAGAAATTTGCTATGATGTGTAATACGGACCCCAACGAGCCAACTGGCTAGCATTGAGAAAAAGTTCACCAAGGAGATTCTTAGTACGACATATACCAACCGAGTGGTGAAATCTGACTGTAAAGTTTTGTTTGATATCAGTATCCAACCAGAATGAGCAGTTTGTGGACAGGCGGATTGCACCCCATGACTTGCTTCTTCCGGATTTCGTAACTTCCTGATAGATGGTTTGATTTTTTGCCTATCTTAAGGGGTTAAGGAGGCTTTCCAGCGAAATACCTGGACCGCTTTTGGAAGCAGGAAGAGGTGTCTCTTTGACTGGAAGCTCCAGGAATATCTGACAAGAACCGCCTGTTGTGAACGTCTCAAGGAACTACGTATACTTCGGAGCGACAGAAAGGTTTTTGAAGTAAAAACTTGAACTTTTGACTGTGACTAGACGGCTGTCAAGGTTCCAATAATCGTATTAGTGCTCATGACAGCCGGGTTGGCTTTTTACTGGCCGTGGTCCATTGAATTGTGAAAGCAGTTCCAATTTACCCACTCAGCAATTCGGCTTTATCTCAGTGAAAGTATGCAATAGTTCCGTGGACACGGAAAGAGTACTTTCTCAGGAAGGGTTACAATCAAAATCGATTGCGTTCTTAGCTTGCCATACAGGCTGAGGAACCTTGCATAGTACGGCTTTTGCCTCATAGAATAGTAGAAGCACTCACCGATGTTTTTTTTTTTGGGGGGGGGGATAGGGACAGTGGGCTGTCAAGTGGGGGGATTGGAAAAGGAGCTATGCATTGAAGGCAATAGCTTGGATGCACGAGCGCCATTGAGGGCGCGAAACCATAGCATGTGCCATGGTCCGTCAACTGGGTTTATGCTAATTTACTGGCCTGTACAAAGCCAGCCTTTGTGTATCACTCAAGTGAAAAAACCGCAGCTGTTTGCCTTGCTGATCACGTTTTATGCATGATAATCAACACAGGTTCCACTCTGCCTTGACAAGGTCCTGTTCCGTGCCAGTGTTTTATTTGTTGCAGCAAGTCTCATGACAAGTCAAGGAAGAAGATAAAATGTGTTGACTGATTTGGACAAACGAATGATGGTTTAGACTCGCTTTCTAAGCCTTTTAGACTTGGCAACTGTAAACACTTTGGTGAGTACAGTAAAAGAGGATCCGCAAAGCGAGTTCATTCTGGAGCCTGCATCTACCAGGAGCTAGGTCCAAGGTTAAATACTTTTGGCTTGTGGTTCACTGATTTTTTTCGCCCACTAATAATGACCCGACTTACGGTGAATTTTGTCATCGTCACCAGGGTCGATTCGTTACATGCAAGTATTTGAGACGCAAGTGGTGCTTCCATTATTGTCTCAGCCCCATCCTACGAAGCATACTTATGAGAGTATTCAGATTACTCCTCATACAAGCGGTACCACATAATGGAAATCGACGAGTGAAGAGTCACATAGAAATCCACATCATCATGAGAATGGATTTTTATCACAGGTTGTGATACTCCCAAGATCAGGTCCTAAATGCCACATTCTACAAAACAGATCTCGCCGTCCTCTTTGAAAACAAGAGTTCTGGTAGCTTTTGGTTGTGTAGTGGTCTACAGGCGGTGCACCTGCAACCCATATTGACCCCCAAAGATTACTCACTCACCGCGTATCTACTCTGATAGTGTTCATGTGGGTGATACCTGGAAATCTGACGGTAAAGAAATTTGCTATGATGTGTAATACGGACCCCAACGAGCCAACTGGCTAGCATTGAGAAAAAGTTCACCAAGGAGATTCTTAGTACGACATATACCAACCGAGTGGTGAAATCTGACTGTAAAGTTTTGTTTGATATCAGTATCCAACCAGAATGAGCAGTTTGTGGACAGGCGGATTGCACCCCATGACTTGCTTCTTCCGGATTTCGTAACTTCCTGATAGATGGTTTGATTTTTTGCCTATCTTAAGGGGTTAAGGAGGCTTTCCAGCGAAATACCTGGACCGCTTTTGGAAGCAGGAAGAGGTGTCTCTTTGACTGGAAGCTCCAGGAATATCTGACAAGAACCGCCTGTTGTGAACGTCTCAAGGAACTACGTATACTTCGGAGCGACAGAAAGGTTTTTGAAGTAAAAACTTGAACTTTTGACTGTGACTAGACGGCTGTCAAGGTTCCAATAATCGTATTAGTGCTCATGACAGCCGGGTTGGCTTTTTACTGGCCGTGGTCCATTGAATTGTGAAAGCAGTTCCAATTTACCCACTCAGCAATTCGGCTTTATCTCAGTGAAAGTATGCAATAGTTCCGTGGACACGGAAAGAGTACTTTCTCAGGAAGGGTTACAATCAAAATCGATTGCGTTCTTAGCTTGCCATACAGGCTGAGGAACCTTGCATAGTACGGCTTTTGCCTCATAGAATAGTAGAAGGAAGTGTATTCTAACCCAAAAGTTAGGATACTAATTAGGTGATTAATTTTTAACTGATTGACATTATATGCACCAGTTAGCGAAATGGAAACCAAAGATATGATGCATGAAAGCAAAGAATTCATCGAAAGATACGCTGTGTACGACTAAAATATGAAGCTATTTATAGCTCTTTTACACACACATAATAACACTCGCTTTCAAAGCTGTAGGAAGAGCGCCTGTAGCCGTTTGCAGTCGTCCTTGATTGGTACGCGTCTCTGCCAAACAACCGGCCCATGTACTGCTTCCAGGGGATTGGGTACTCACCGAATATACTGTACCTGGTATTTCACGCGATAGGACCCGAATGAGTTGTACGGATTTAAAGCTGATTGAGGACCAGAACTCAGCTGAACCCAAAACTCATTTGGACAATTCACTTATGTGGACTACCACATATGTTGTGCATTCAAGAGCACAAGTTGAATGGTGCAGTAACAGTTTTGAGCCGCAGATTACTAAAGGTGGGGTTTATCTGCACCTACGGTTACATCTGACAGGTTCACTAGATTAAATGAAGAGCAGTCTGCACCTAAGCGGTCATTTCCTTCATTGGACCGTTGCAAAATATCATTGGCAGAATCCTAAATCCTCTCTTTGGCAAGTGCGTTGTTTTTTTCTTATAACTCCTCTGATTTATTGCGGCGGATCACATAACTGATCGCATTGACCAGAACACAATTTACGTTAACCATTTTCGAATCGATAACTTACAGGTAAGTTCCGTTCATCGTCCACAAATGTGTGCATCTGCTGTTCGCTCAAACGCCGATCGAAAGTATTTCTCTTACGAACGCCTATTTTTGTCCCAGGTCACAAACATTCCTTTTGTACAGCGAAAATTAGCTCTATTTGTCTGAAATGCTCATGTCAAAGCCAACAGTATCGATCGACTCTCTCTCTAAGCGTGTAATTGTTACTCGCTTACGGCAGTTTTGATCAGTTCACTCAGTTTGATGTGTGCTTGTGTGACATGTGGTAAATCATGACTTATGGCTTTGCTTGTTCGTAATCGATGAGCGGTGGTGGATTGGGTAGGCTTCAAAAGATCATGGAACACCCAGTTGAAACGGCATCTTTGTGCTCGGTTACTTTGACGGCCCTGAGACCCGTAAGCCATCCTTTCGGAATAATTACGTTCTATCCTTCCGGTACTGATGGGATTCTCAAAACACTCACAGACAGCTAGGGGTCTCTATAAGTTCAGTTAATGATTTGTTCAGTTAGGATGGTCGACTAAATTGTCCATCAAGAAACCTTAAAACTAACCCATAAAATACACTCATCCACTCCGGCTGTGCTGGAAAGTCACAGACCTTGGCAAGTCCATATTCTGATACTCCCTTATGAATTCTAAGGTGTAATTCTACAGTGGCATCTTGTTTGTTGAGTGGTACAATAGCGTAGTGTGACAGATGAGATCAATGCGCGAATCTGCGAGGCTCGGGTCGCGTCTCCTAATTTGAAACACCTACGACGTCAAAGCGGTATATTCCCGAATCTCAAGGGACAGGTATATTAGGCTATAGTGCGGGCTGTTTTGTTGTATCGCTGTGAGACTTGGTCTGTTCGAGCAGCGGAACTGAGACGTCTTCAGGTGTTCGACAGTCGTTGTCTCAGAACCATAGCTCGCGTGGGTTGGTGTCGGCGAATCCGTAACGAGGCAGTTAGAAAGCGTGTTTTCGGTTGTGTAACGGGTACTTCCATTGAAGAGTGTGTCCAGCACCAGAAGCTGCGTTGGTTGGGACAGGTGTTACGTATGCCGAACCATCGTTTGCCAAAGAGAGTGCTGTTTTCCATGCCCAATTCGGAGTGGCGTAAACAGAGAGGCGGCCAACCCTTGACTTGACAGAGGAGTATGAAGGAGATCACGAAGCGCTTGGGTGCTGCCGGTGCTACTCGCCTTCCAGGATGGGGACCGCGTGATCCTCACTGTGCCTGGTTGGAGACACTAAAAGACATGGCTGCCAACCGATGTCAGTGGCGTTCCTGTTGTCAGTTTCTACCCAGCTTGCCTGAGTGAATGTCTGAAGGTGTAGACATCTCGGAATGACTGTAGTCAGCTAGCATGAAATCCCTTCCCCATCCACCTTCACTCTTTTCTCTACAACAAGGCTTTCAAACAAATCATGGTTGTGTGACAGTGAAGCATCGGTGTTGAACAATGATGCCATGCTGTCGATGATGATGATCACATTGGCAGTCGGACAGCTTGAATCACAACGTTTGGTATCCTAACTACGTTATTCTGCAGGTGACCTAGAGAACAAGCCACGTGAGGATGCAAACACAAATATGAGTGCAATCCGACGCGAAAGTCGAGTTAATGTTAAAAGTTGTGAATCACTCAGACATTGTTTTACCGGAGTATCAATAGCCATTTTGTCGGTCTTCCTTCCGAGTATATTGCACTAGCGCTATTGTGAATCGAACTGTTCGCTTTTAGCTTCAGGACCCTTTTCTCACCGCAGCCTAGTTTTGCGTGGTTGACCGAAGTCAATGAATTATCCTGCCTTATTTCTATTTCGCTCTTGGCACAAACTTTTTTATTTGCTAGGGGGAATAGAAAATGCAAGTTGCTGTCAGAGTAAAAAGTTTGTAGGATTGACTGTTAAGCAAACTTAACGGCTCTCATATCAAGTAATCGCGCAACTTAACTCAAGTGTTCTTCGTCCTTGATCTTCACCTTAAAGCCCTGGTGACTAAGCAAAAGCGTAAATTATCTAACCGGAATGTTCTAGAACCAGAATGACTGATGAATATGATATAAGAGCAATAAATTGAAGAAATTTCGCTCGACAACCCTTTGTCCCAGGTATATGTCCGCAAACAACAACTGCTCAGTTTCTGAGCATATAATCAATTATTAAATGAACTGTACTTTTCCCTCCTTTCCTAACCAAAAAATCGACAAGCAACTCGTGAGTCTTTAGGAGCAGTCACTTACTAGCCAAAATGCCCAATGAAAGATTGTCTGTTGTTGTTTATTAGGCTTGTGTTGAGTTAAGCTTGCAAAAGGTGCTGAATTAATCCCACGTTTGTAGCTTACACCAAAGTGATGCCCTTGCGTACTGATTCCATTGCTGTTCGAAGGTGTAGGCATCTTGTTCTCGAGTCAATAAAATTCGCTGTTCATATGGATTTCATTTTGCGTCGTGGGGTGCAGGAATGGCCTCTCTTGGTGTGGATTGGCCAGCATGACAGCTGCCTGTGACTGGTTTTAAGAGCGAGTCGATTATCTGCACGTCGAATTACCTTGGAACACAGGGGCTACCTACTAGCTGGGACATTACACAATTATTCGGATGTGAAAGCTTTGGGTATTTGCAGAGCCATCAAACTGGCAAAATCCAGCGGCTGTGACTAGATCACCCTGTTCATATATTTTGGAAAGACCGGTAGGGAGTCAACCGTCGCTTGCATACAGTTAGAAAAAACCCATTTTCAATACTTTGACTTCCATGGTTTGTCTTGTGCGTGCAAGAATTGCCATGAAAATTCGACGGTGTTAACGAATGAATTGAGTCTCATCTGCGAATGAGTTGAATCCGATTCAATGGAAACGAAAACTCTCAATATATGTTCACCAAGGCTTGGAATCAAAAGCCCATGGACAGTATCGTAGTGACCGTTTTTATCAAGGTTCGAAGCAGACCACATTACAAAGATGGTGTCATTTACTCAACTCACAGTGATGGTCTCCAAACCTATGCAAGATAGAAATGTTTCGGTATTTAACCTTATCTGTTCATGCCGGCCAGATTGAAAACCAAGAGAGGCCTGTCTGCGTTCTTGTTACCGAAGCGGCGTCACAGGCTGAACTATGTAAACAGCCGACCCTAGATGCAATAAAACAGCTGCGGTTAATCTGACCAAAGTCGGTATTTACACAAGGTGGTACGCATCTGATGCACTTGTACGCATAGACGCCCTGGTCAGTCGTAGAAACTGATTTGATAATTTTCGACCACTTTCGAAGCAAAATACCATAGAATGTTTTGTACCACTTTTTCATCCAAGACCTCTTCGTGAAAACTGTTCCATCCAGGCAAGGCTAATTTGTACGACCGTAATATGAGCCTTTGAGTGTCTTGGCGTGCATTGACTGAATGATTCATCATAGGTCTGATTATCTGTACTCCAGAGTTCACTAAAACAGATTTGATTGTTTTAAAAAAATACACTCATTTTCAGATCAAGTTGGTTCTCACAAGAGACTCAACTGAATATCTCGTTTACGGTATTCTACAACTGAATGTGCTGTACGCTGGCCGCCTCATGTTTCAGTTGGTACGATATTCGTGAGTTGTCGTAGTTTTCAGCAAGCTTGTGAGTAGTTACATTTATAAAAGGACTTGAGTGTTGGTTATGGTGTAAGTGTTGCGGTTAAAAGAATACAACGGTAATCATATTTGGAAGTGTCAACTAACTGTCCTGTCGCTGAGTGCTTCATACATCGCTTGTTGAACATTGATTATCGTCTTGTTTATAGATCTGTAGTTCGCTACCCAACTTGTCCAGTGCGGCGTCTGCGAATTTTTATCACTTACATCACAAGTATCCATTCTAATCCTTCTTTTTAGATGTTGGTCTGCGTTAGGTCAATCAGCGCCAGGGGAACAGTGTATCGAATCTTCCATACTTCCCAATACTCTGTAGCCAGCAGCCTTATCATCATCGATGTCTTCATCAGGAGCATCAGTAGCCTCAGTGTCGCCGTTATAATCGACTTCATTACCATAGAGATTCAGTATTCTCTAGGCCGAATGAGCCCCGGAAATTTTTGGAAACCACTTGTCCCAATGCATTTCAGAACTTTGGGGTTTTTTAAAGCCGGCATTAGCACATTTAGATCTACAAGGACGTGTTCGTTCTTACTTTTTACTTCGGCCCACGTCCATTCCTGCCTCAAGCCTTAGTCTCATTCTAAGACGGCGT